TAGTATTAGATCAATTAAAACCAAATGGATAATATACATTTGGGCTTGATGAACAAAATATTAACCACCTACCTAAAGGTTTTTCTTCTATGCAGGTTATTGAATGTGATGATTTGTGCATTTGTGTTCCAATAAAGTAAATTTAACTAAAACTGATTAATCAAAAGCACTTTCATTGCCTTTTAAACATGGAGATAGGTCTGGAAAAGATATGTAAGAACCATGAAAAGAAAATGCATACAAAATACTAAATCTAAAACCTCCAAAGGTTCCACCTTTTATTTCTCGGAGAATTTTCAAAAATATGATCATATAATAATAAGAAAATACTCTTGACAACATCACTCATGCCACACTTTTTACTCACTATCCAACAAATGATGTAACAAAAGCATTGAGATCTTGCTTAGTTGGAGAGACAAATCATTATGCAATTAATTTTAGAAGATGTGATGAAGAAGAATACTGGTAACCATCAAAACATAGGTGCTGTTGTCACCATGCAAAGTGAGCATTAGATGCTATCTATGCAAATTGGCTTTTTAGGTTGTCAGGAAATGCATCCCTGTACTCCTTTATAGAATTATACATAAAAAACTTCTTAAGGACTTCCTCTAAAATTTGGTCAAATGAGACCAAGGCTTGACTTTTCTACAAAATCCAATTCTGGTGAATCTGACATGAAATAAAGGATGAGAATATAGACAAACAGGTCTTGCCCATTGGCGAGTGTGGCAGAGGTTCTGTGGAGTCTGTTTATCATCAAAACTCTCTGAAAACAAAGTTAGATAGTTAAAGTTTGTTATTTAATAAATAGTCTGTTTTAATTTTAATGTTCAGTTGTGTGGTAGTCTGTTATTTAACTGGGAGGTAAGAGTAGTTGTCTGTGTTTGTGTTCCTGTAGCATTTTGTTTCACAGCAAAACACAAAAAGCTGTGTTAAGATCTATTGCTGCATGTTCACATGACCTGAGTCTGCCAGAGGGAAACCTTGTGAAATGAGTGTCCTGGATCATGCGGACCTTTCTGGCCGTCGGAGGAGATGACTCCAGCACATCTCCTTTATTACTGAGAATCCAATGATCCATTGGCAAGCAACAAGTCGGCAATGGATCGACTGCTTTAATTGTTTCCTCTGGGATCTAGTTCAGCTGGCATAACTGGCACTCTGTACATCCACAGGTCAAGAGGCTCTCTATTGTGAAGCGATAAAAGGTTTTTCAGCAAAGTGGAAGATTTGGTTGTTCATCTACAGGGTTTCCCAGGAGGAACCGACACCGGTGGTTTTTTAACGATGTGGGTGGTGTTCACAGTCCAGCCCGGGTCCACTGAAATGTTTCTGTTGATGCTTATGTCTGAGTGCAGTTATCCAGCAGTGGCAGATTTGTTATCAACTATTTCATTTTATGGCTTTGATCAGGCTTGCCAGATATAAACAAATCTTCCAACCAAAGGGGACAACATGATTATGAACCTCATTCCATCTCTGGGATTCTTGCGCTCAGTATTCACGTAGTCCGGATATAAACGGAACCCAAAGTTCTAATCGCTGCATGATGTGCAGCAGAGCCCCCTCTGTTTTCTTAAGGTGGTGATGTCAATGCTGGTGGTCGCATGGAAGTGCTAAAAGTGCAGCAACTAATCACTCATACAATAACCCTCCAAAATACGCATACAATGTGGCTCTATGGGCAGCTATCCATTGTTTAATCTGTTCTGTTTGTATAAGCTGTCCTGTGCAGTGGAACAATTCACCAAAGGCATGTACCCACGTGGCACAACACATACACACATCCGAGCACCTTTAGCTTTATGTAATCTGCTTTATCTAAAATATAATCTTTGGGCCTTGTACTGAAAAAAAAAGAGTTAAGGGCAACTTTTTTTTTTTTTCCTGTAAAACTAAAATAATTCACTGAATCTGACAGTATGGGGATTTAACTACATTTTTTTCCATTCATCTCTTCATCAGTCCATCCATCTATTGTTTTAAATGGATTTATAGTTGCACATTGTTTCAACCCCTCATTCAAACTATTACAATTTAACTATTTTCTTTACACTAGTATGCCAAGAACTACTTTTGAAAAAAAAAAAAAAAACTCCTATTCTTTCAATAACTTGGTTGAAAAACAACAATAGTATCTTTCTAGCTTTAAACATACTATAACACATAGATCCTTACATTAACCAAGACCCTAACTTTCAGAATAAAGGATTTATTAACATGTTCTCTAACATTTCCTTTATATACGATTAGCATAGCTTGCTTTTGTATCACAATCAGAGGTATAGTGTTTTTTTTCTGTTACCCAATACTTCTGTAAATAAATTAAATGTGAAATAGTGAATTAATAATATGTCTGAGCTGTTGATATTTATAAAACATTTTTTACTTTTCTTTAAACTTGAGACTTTTGAATACATTTTTGCATATGTACAGTATTTTATGAGATTTCCAGTTGATGTCTACATAGAAACGTGACCCGCTCCTATGTAATTATAAAAAGCTATTTCTAAGGTAACACAAGCACAAAGATTTAGATTTTCAGTTTATAGATTAAAACATTTCTGTAAATTAATCCCTGTACTGTAATTAATACACAGTGGTGCTTTATTACTCATTGAATTTAGGCATTTTACAAGCAGCATGTTTTCAATCCCAGAAAAGAAGAAAACTTTAACATTCTAACAACTCACAAATGTCAAAAAAGTTTAAATATTTCTGAAATGTTATTTTCAAATTTTTAAATTCTTTCCTGTTACTTATATACCGCAATAACTTAACCAGTTACAAACTGTTCCTCCTAGTAATAAGCTATAGTCAATGGATTGAAAAAGCTCTTTTAAATGCACATTCTCACTGTTTATCACTTCCTTAGATTTTTTTTAGTTTGAGTGTTTATTTTATTTTTTTTTTATTTTTTATTATTCATTCTTGTTCAAGGTAGGATTATTTCCCAGCATTCAAACTAGGCTACTTGACTCCTAAATATTTATTCAGTCTGGACTCTGATGGGGTCAAACTGAAAGGAGCTCCTTGAACTTTCCTTAATATATTCCTCGTTTATCATGATTCAGTTTATGTTTTCCAAGCACATGGTTAAGAGTTAAAAAAAACACATTTCCGATTCCCATCACCCAATGAAACAACCAACTCATTGTACATTTTTCTGATAAAAATTATGTTTTGGGGGCATACTCAGCAGTACAGCTGTTCCTATAAAATGGTTTGTGCAGAGGATGATCAGCTGAGTCTGTTCTGTGTTGTGTTGTAGTTTTCCACAGTTTAAAAAGTTTTAAAGGGGAACACCGTTTTTTTTACACTGGCCCCTTGAATTTACGTTATTACATCATGTTCCACTCACCCATATTAGTTTTGTGTCTATTGGAGCTGTTTTGAAGATATTCCGTTTTGTAATCCAAGTAACGTCATTGGCGGCTACCATTTATTCATCCTGTACGCTGAACTGCTGCTAGTTTTACTCATATACCTGGAAGATGTCTAGTGCTACTACCACAGATGATCTCGCTCTCGAAATCGAATAGAACGATTCAGATTAGCTAGCCGAATTAATAGAAGGGGTAGAGCGTAGCCGCCTGTGGCTCGGGCTGCCTGTCACAACTCCAGTCCGGCGCGTGGATGATGTCATACAAGCGGCGCTTTGTTTTTAAAACACATAAATAT